TGAGAATATGTTGTTAGTTTGTATTTATTAACTTAACGCCGCATCTTACAACTTTTTGTTCCGGTTAATTACTTACAGAACCTTGCTTAAAACCTTACTTATTCTTGAGTGAAGCGAGAGATTACTTCAAACTGTTATAATATTTTAATAAACAAATGGTTTTATATAAACATACTAGCATTGCCCGCGGGTCCGCCCGCGTTCAGATGACCAAAAACCAAATTCTTAGGTTTTACATATTAGTATACTCTTACGTAGCAGTTTTTGTATTTTTTCTCAGAAATGAGACATTTTTCCGCGGTAAAAAGTATCCAATATGTTGACCCGGATAACGAGCTATCACCATACCAAATTTCATAAAAATCTCTCCATTGGTTTTTCTGTGATGCGGTAACAGACAGACAGACAGACAAAAATTGTAAAAACTATAGATTCGGCCTCTGTAATCGACATAATCATAATAAATCGATAATGGTGTCTATTTCAATAAGATTTCCCAAAAAATATTTAATGTACAGATTTGGCTTCGTTACAATTTTATTATATATGTATGGATGTAATAATAGATAACTAAAACTGAACACGTTTAAACTGAATGCCTCTATTACAATTTGAATTATTCATCTTTAAAAATGACTTTTGTACAGACAGTCAAATAAATAACATAATCCTATTAGTTTCGCGCAATAACATTTCTTATTATAAGCCAAGTTAAAATCGATTTTCGCTTGTATAATTAAGTAAAACTTTTAACTTTAATGGCTTATGAAAGAGTTATTGTCCTCACAAAGTAATGTATGTAGTTTCAAGGTTAAACATCTTGTGATTCTTTTATAATATTGTTACTATTTACTAGGTACGTATTAAATTAGTTACACATTTTTTTAAACTAAGTATACGTGCCTCTAGTGATTTAAAGTACCTACTTTATACCTCAATAAATATTCAATGTAACCGAATTTAGAGGAGAGCAACCTACGAGTACAATACATGGGCAAAATTAGCCAACTACAAGAAAAGGAAAATCTATTTTCTGAAGTTATACTTCTTTTGGCACGTTTGGAAAAAAATATGAAAGTAAAATTTTTACGATGCGCGCGCACACCGACAGCCAAAAAGCGACATGATGAAGTTAGCTGATAACTGTCTTTCCGGTTCCCGTGAAAACTCATAACTTTATTCCAAGTAGTTTCTCAAATATTCATAAATCTATAACACGTGTTTATATCAGTGGAGATAAATAAATTATATTTATTTTTGTTAATTTATCATTCCTTTTACAAACAGAGAGTTGTGTCATACGGAATGAAATCTTTTGCTATTTTTGTTTCGTTACGCCAAAGAAGTATAACTTCTTACGTGCATACATAAGTAAGTACACACACACACACTTTTTTTTAAATATTAATTAGGCTTTCTTTCTTTTTTTGCCCCGGTTTACTTATAGCAACCGGATATAGATTCCTGATAATAAATATCGTGTACTCCAGAATTTAAGAAACAGGATGTAATGTATGACACTTTTCTGCACATACTCTTTTAATACCCCAATCTACCAATTTGGATGAACTTTTATGTAAAGACTCATAAATTGGCACCTGAAATTCACCATTTTTATTTTAAACTAGCATTGCCCGCGGCTCCGCCCGCGTTTAGATGACCAAAAACCAAATTCTTAGGTTTTACATATTAGTATACTCTTACATTGCAGTTTTTGTTTTTTCTCTCAGAAATGAGATATTTTTCCGCGATAAAAAGTATCCTATGTGTTGACCCGGATAACCAGCTATCATCATACCAAATTTCATCAAACTCTCTTTAGTGGTTTTTCCGTGATGCGGTAATAGACAGACAGACAGACAGACAGACAAAAATTCTAAAAACTATAGATTCGGCCTCTGTATCGATAATAAGATCTGTTTTAATAAGATTTTGCAAAAAATATTTAATGTACAGATTCGGCTTAGTTAGAATAGTTAGAATTTTATTATATGTATAGATAATATCTATATAGATATACCCTATTACACTCGCGTTATCACGACGTATGAATCATTGAAATCGGTTAAGTCGTTTAGTAATTACAAGGGAACATGAGTGGACATAGATCAAAAACATAGGTCAAACACATAACCCTTCTATGAGTTTTGTTGCAGTCGGGTAATAAAAAATGTGGCGCAATTATTTTTTAATAAAGGTACTCGTTATTACTTCAATAATATCTATGATGTTACTTCCTGTTACTTGTATGAATATTGCTTATTTCCCAGTAGGTGTTATATAATTATTTAATCGTACTATACATTGCTATGCATTTTCTTCTTTACTTCTAAGTATGCAGAGTAATGTCTCATGATGCAATAACTTAATAAAGATTTAATTTAAACACCTCTTTCTCATACAAATCTAATTTATACCTTTAATATTAATAAAATACTTTTATTTGTATGTGCTACCTATTGATAGGTTTGAAGTCGGTGCCAAGCCAAATGTAATAAGTAGGTACCTACACTCACCGCGATCTGAGAAATCTATACTAAAGGCACCAATTTACTGCCTCGGTGGTGTAGTGGCTAGCATGTACGGCTGCACACCCGGAGGTCCTGGGTTCGAGTCCCGGGTCGGGCCAAGTTTAGTTATTGAGTCTTCCTGTATAGTAAGTCTCAGTAACAGCCCGGAGTTGGGAAGTTGGCGGTGTTTCACCCCCGTGCCTCGGAGAGCACGTAAAGCCGTCGGTCCTGCGCCTTAACTCTCACCGGTCGTGTCGAGTGGTCGTCCCACCGGAGTATGAGAGTGATAGGAATAGAGAGTGCACTTGTGTCTGCGCGTACACTTGAGCACTATAATATCTCCTGCGCAGTTGGCTAATCTCATCGAGATTGGCCGCCGTGGCCGGAATCGGCTAGGAGAACATCATCATCATCATCATCACTAAAGGCACCGATTTCAAAAATATTAAAAAAAAATACTAAATAATATATAATGTAATATATGTTAAATAAAATGTAAAATAATTTTTTAAATTGGAGAAAATATTATTAAATAAAAAAAAGAACCTTACAATTATTCTACTCCTGATACTCTATATTCATCCCTTTACAAAAGATAAATAAATAAATAAAATATTTTTGGCCATTAAATGTTTTTCTTTCGAATATAGTAACCAGGCAAGATACAACGGACTAATCTCAGAACGTGGTTCGCCACGGTTACAGATTTCGCTTGGAAAACCAAGTAAGTGGATAGGGTTGAAACTCCAGGTTTTGCACCTCTGATATTCTCATGTGCGTATTTTCAACATGATTACAACTTGCGTTGGACAAAGGAAAACATTAAAAGGAAACTAAAATGTCTTGGAAGCTAACTGGTTTCCGGAAGACCGATGTTGTTTCAAAAAATATTTGCCAATTGTGTATTGGTTTTCGTTATAATTAATTATTAATCTATACTAATATTATCAAGAGGCAGAGTTTGTTTATTTGTTTGAACGCGCTAATCTCAGGAACTACTAATCCGATTTGAAAAAATCCTTTTGTTTTCCGTTTGTTTGTTCCATTTATTGAGGAAGGCCATAGGCTATATATCATCATGCTTCTACTTAAAGGAGCGGAGCAGTAATCATAAACGTTAACAAATCGGACAGACTTCCATTCATTATTACCAATAGCATATAGCCAAAGAGGTTTTTTTGTAGTTTTAGCGCGAACGAAACCGCGAGTTCTGCTAGTTATGTTATAAATTTCAACAAAAATGTCCACCTCTAAAGTCCAAATGTAGGTACAATAGGGACTTTTAAAATGGTATGGGTGAAATAGAATTTACATCTCAAAATTAAATAATGTTATTAAAATTATATTAATTTCATCCTTAAAGGTTCTACATGTATAAATAACTTGCAGAACGCGCAGATTCGCTCGTGCTAAAACTAAAACTAAAAAAAAAAACTTTAAAAAGGTAGGTTTCATGAAGACTTTCATTCCCTATTACATTTTTATCCCTTATCGGATTAATTTCGAAAAACGCTAAAGCAAGTACATACCTATTTATTTAATTGTATTGAAGAGCATTAATACCAATTTTCAAGTAATTCTGATCATAAATATTTTTTTGGGTTCAATTATAACGTGTTTTCGCGTAGGAATGAGATGATTTCCCGCGATAAAAAGCAGTAGTAGCTTATGTCACTCTCCAGTTCTCCAACACCCTCTATACAAAAATTCACGCCAATCTCTCACTTAATTTCGACGTGAAATAAGGACAAACAAATAAACAAACACACTTTCACATTTATAATATTATTTTTTTATTTTATTTATTTATTTTTTAAATATTTTTTTACTTATTTTTTAAATTTAAATTCAAATACATATTCATTTTCTAGAACTTTTATTCTTTACAATTAAAACTAAATTATAAGTTTATGAGTTAATAGTCCTTATTTTTTATATTATATAAAGAGGTAAGTATATCATCTACAAAAAATAATCATAAGTTTTCAAATTAATGAAATGCGGTTAAATATTTATAAACACTAAAATAGGTGATATAACACGTGACATTTTAAGTGCTTAAAATTTTTCTCATATTATTCATTTACAATTTTCCAAAAATACTCCCTTGACCTACCATGATTAATCAGCTGAGTGTCTGAGTCAAGGATCTGCTAGATTTGTTACGTAACAAACACCACTAGCCGTGCACATTTACATTGCCAGCCCAAATCGCCCCTAAACAGCAATGAAGTGAATTCAAAAGCCAATGTATACTCTCGTAATGAAATAACATCTCATCATCGACTCAATACCATGTTGTAAGTGACGTTAGCTAGAAAACTGCGACAAACCGACCAATAGCGCTTTGCTCCAAAGACACACCTCCGTGGGTTTTATAATTGGAATTTGGTGCGCACTCTCAGTAAATATCGAGCGGTACGTCAGTTCAGTGTCAAACTGTCAGTTGACGGCGGCGGCTCGACGCGTGTGTTCGTGACACGCGCAAAAATGGCTTTGGTACGTCGGCTAGCTTTGAACGCGCCCAGGGGGGTCCGTGTGCTCTCCACGCCGCCGCCCTCTCGGGACGAACTCGACCTATCCTTTAACAGCCCCAAGGATGCCTTCAAATCTAAGAAAACCAGCGAGTTGGTCCGGGCGTACCTCGTCTACCAAATATGCTCGATCAATTGGATCGTCGAGAACAACGACATGGTAAGTGAATCGATTGTTATGTAATGTTAGCCGTATTCCGTAAGTCTGGTGCGTACGGAAATTCCTAAATTAACCGGCATAGCCCTTGAATTTGCTAGTGATGTCTATGAGTCCAGAACGCAGTGCGTTTTGCACGTGTCTTGCTACCGTGTAATGGTTGTTTTACCGGTCGTGCGTACATATAGTTGTGGATGAAAGGGGAAGTTTGGTTAGGACCGGTTACGTCACACATTCGTTAGGCAAAAAGGTTTCGTATCGTTGTATTCGCAGATTGTTCAGCCGAGTGTGCTAAAAATGAAGACCATTCGATACGTTAGCTGTAAATATAAAAAAAACTTTTTTTATGAATGAAATTGTGATAAAATGGATTTTTATCATCTGCCGAGCGCATGCGCCAACATCTAGACACTAAGCTAGACTTAAAATTACTGGGCACCAACTATTACCTAATACTAAGAATTTGTCTCGACATTCTTGGAGCGTTGATTTGGCACTTCTGTGGAAGGCGTTTGGTTCATTCAACCTCATTATCAAGAACGCATTGCTTGCTCTTATGTTTCTCTTAATTGCAATTCATTTTGAGTTCACATAAGGAAGGTGGGGATATTCAGTGCCATATTAGGTTCTCAAATTATTCGGAATGGGACTAAAATTAAAAAAAAAGTATATATCATAATTCTTATTTTAACTTACTTGTCCCTCTCCTTTGACAACGCAAAAAGTTTAACGTTTAGCTTGGATTTCTCAGAGATGAGATATTTTCCCCCAGTAAAAAAATATTCTATATGTTACCCAGATAACCAGCTATCATCATACCAAATTTCATCAAAATCCCTCCAGTGATTTTTCCGTGATGCGGTCACAGACGGAAACAAGAATTGTAAAAACTATAGATTCGGTCTCTGTGTCGATAATAATGTCTATTTAAATAAGATTTTCCAAAAAATATTTAATGTGCAGATTCGGCTTAGTTACAATTTTATTATATGTGTAGATAATACTATCTTTTCGGATTTGTTAAAACAATTAACATGTTTATCTACATATATAGTATATACTTTTATATTAAAGCATTCAATCAAATCCAAATGATTTCCGTAGATAAATAAAACTAACTCGTGGGATTTTTCCGCGGATTTATTTTGATTTTCGGTTCCCTACGTTTCAAATGCTTTACAGCAATCATGTGACCATGATTGCCAACCAAGTCTCTCCCGTGACCATGTAGGCAGTGGTAGCCCAGTGGTAACGCGCTCGCTTGGGAAACCGAGTGAAGCGGGTTCAAATCCCGGCTCTCGGACCTCTGATATTTTCATGTGCGAATCATTTCTAACATGATTACCACTTGTCTTACGGTGAAGGAAAACATCGTGAGGAAACCTGCATGTCTAAGAAAACGATGAATTTTTTAGCAATGAATATTGATCTTTAAATTGGAAACAATAATTATGTCGAAAAATTGAATTTAAAAAATAAAATTTATTTCAAAACAGAAATCATAAATTCTAATCACGCGGCCTTGGGCAAGACTAAATAATTAAATACTGTCAGTCGTTGATAAGATAAAGAAGAAAAATAATTATAGACATTGATTTAGATATTAGATATCCTCCTCCTATCCATCCATCCTAATAGATATTTGGTTTAATCTTTAACTTATAATCTGAATGGATTAATAAGAATAAATATGATGACAAAAAATATTAAAATTTCATATTGAATTCATTTCAATTCTTTATTATTTTGCTTTTAGGCGTGTCAGTTGGGCACAGATTACTTCGCCAATGTCGTGTAGAATGTATTTCATATTATTCGATTCATTCTTTTGTTCATTGACTCCTAGCCCTAGGAGTGCCGTGTGGGTACCATTTACTTCACGGCATACTCAATGTCGCGTAGAATATAAAAGACAAACACAAAAAAAAAGCGACAACGAGGTGAAAAACAAAAAAAAAGCCACTTAATCTAATTATAGTACACTTCAGTTCTTTATTTAATGCCTTTAAAACAATCTAATTACATGTAGAGACAGAGCAATTAGTTGTAAAAATTTCTTATTCTTTGACCTTCAGTCACAGGACTGAAGGCAAGACAGTGTCAAAAAACCAGATTAAATATTTAATCGCATTTTATGTTCAAAATAATATTATGTTTATTGGCATTTAAGTAATAACAAAAATACAATTTAAAATATAATTTTAGAATGCAAGCTACTCGTGGCGTGAAAAATAAAGTGATAAAATTAGATAAAATATATATTACTATTTTTGTATATGTATTTAAAATAAAAGTCAGTTTAAAGTGCTGACGCCTGACGGCTTTATTAAATGCGTGATGCTTAATATGATATAATTTTTTACCATAAAGCATATTTTTAGGTCACTATACATGTAACACGTAAACTACGTATACTATATAATTGTTATTTATTCAATTAATAAAAAAATATACATCGTAAAAATGTAAAAAATATATAAACCCAAATCATGCTACCAAATAATTTTACTACACAATATTTTTATTAACTTTTTCGTTTATAGGAAGTACTTTAATTACAAATAAAACTCAAGCTCGTAACTCGATGCCTCTTTCCAGACGGAAAATTCGGTTCAGTTTTCCTTAAATAATATAATAACGGGGTTTTTACGTCATCAAGTACTTATAAGTATACTTATGGAATAACCGATGTTAAAATATTCAATTGCCTACAAGTTATAACTGACTTCAGTTAAAACTTGATCATAAAAATAAATATTTTGATATTAAGTTCGAAAATATAAAATAAAATTATATAAAAAAAAACACAAACATCTGGTGTATGAGTTAGCTTTTAAAATGGCCGCATTACACGTTTAATTAACTACCTCAGTGGTGTAGTGACTAACATGTACGGATGCGCTTCCGCAGACCCTGGGTGCGAGTCCCGGTCGGGCTAAGTTTAGTTATTGAGTCTTTCAGTTACGAAAGCCCTAGTAACAGCTTAGAGTTAGGAAGTTGGTGGTGTTTTACCCCTGTGCCTTGGAAAGCACGTAAAGCCGGCGATCCTGCGTCTAATCTCTACCGGTCGTGTCGAATTATCGTCCCATCAGAATTTTAGAGTGAAAGGAATAGGGTGTGCACTAGTCTGCGGGTACACTTGTGCATCATAATACCTCCTGTGCTAGTTCGCAATCAGTGAGTTTGGCCTTCGCGGCGGAAATCGGTCTGGAAGACATTTATATAACAAATAGCAATTTACCCTCAATTCGCTTAGGTTCGTCCCTAGTGAAAAATAAAAACATATCTATCCCACGGGAAAGGTACATTTTTCCGAGATAAAAAGTAACCTATATGCTATTTTAGACTATAATCTATCTCTATGCCAAATTTCATCTAGATCCGTTCAGCCGTTCTGGCGTGAAAGAGTAATACCGAAACATCTATCCAAATTTTTGCATTTATAATATTAATGTATTAATAATAATAATGGGATGACAGTCCTGAATTGATTGTAATAAAGCAGAGGTTAGTACAATATATTATTTTACAAAGAGCTATTCAAATATATAATAATGATATAAGAGTAGGTACGTTAAATTTTACTCGCGTGTACGCAAAGGAAAAGGTATAAAAATATTATTAAAAGTTTGTATTTATTTCTTAATATATGTGTAACTCGTGTAATATTTTAATTAATTATTAAATCCGTTTTTACGAGTTAAATTAACATAATTGTGATCATCTACAGCTTAAAATCTTTGGAAATATGCTAAAGTTTACTGAAAACTCAAATATTTACAGATTGCAGATAACACTGAATTTTCATTCAGAAAGATGTTCTTATCGTCAGCCGTTACGACTTACGGCAGACGATAGTCACGTTTGACGGTATTAATGATTATAAAATTACAAGTAAAACCTCTTGATTCTGTCTGTTGTTATAATAAAAAAAAAAGTTTTAAAATCAAATTTCAAGCAAAATATTTTGAAGTTTGTTGCTAGTTGTGTTGTAAACGCTTTATTACTTGTCAATATTATTACTAATATTCTATAGAGGTAAAGTTTGTGAGTTTTTGAATTGTGAGTTTGTGACGTTGTAGGGGGTAATCTCTGGATCTACTGAACCGATTTAGATGAAATTTGGTAAGAAGATAGTTTCAGACCCTGGGAAGGACATAGGATACTTTTTGTCCCGGAAATCATTATTTAAGGGAGTGAAAATGGAGATGAAAGTTTGTATGGGGAATCATATTTATTTTATATGGAGCTCCTGTAATCTTATGGAAACTCTTTTTTTTTAGATTAGGATTGGTAACAATCATATTAGCATAATATTACCTTTAAAAGTCTTAAAACATAGGAATACTTGTCCACAAGAACCACTTCTGTTACTGGGTCATTAACTATCTACCTGAAAGTAAAAATACCAATAATAAAAACTAACTCTTCCACACTAAGTAAAGTTGAAAATACAAACATTTATAGTGGAACTAGCATTGCCCGCGGCTCCGCCCACGTTCAGATGACCAAAAACCAAATTCTTATGTTTTACATATTAGCTTAATTTTACATTGCAGTTTTTCTAATTTTTCTCAAAAATGAAATGTTTTCCCGCGGTAAAAGGTATCCTATATGTTGACCCGGAAAACCAGCTACCATCATACCAAATTTCATCAAAATCTGTCTAGTGGTTTTCTCGTGATGCGGTAACAGACAGACAGACAGACAGACAGACGGACAGACAAACAAAAATTCTAAAAACTACAAGTTAACACTCGTAGCACCATCTATAAGTATTGTATCTATACTATAATAAAGCAGTAGCAAATACTAGTAATAATAAGATAAATCATAAGGAAAATGTAAAAATACTGTAAATCTAAAGTACAAATAGAAAGTAAGACTATATGTAGAATACCGCTTAAAAAACAATGTAATAGCAAGTAAGAAAAATTGTAAACAAGGACTCCGACTCCCACATCGGAGGTGTGTCAGTATAAATAAATAAAAAAAATAAAATA